ATACAGATAGGATCTGTCTGCAGCAGCACCCTGTGATGTATACGCACCCTGCATCATCGCTCATTATTGTGTACGAGCAGGAGTTATTTTCCATTAACGAAATCCCTACGTAGTGAACGAGGAGAGGCAGTGAGAGATTGTCATCAGCGGTGTATACGAGTAGGGCCTAGATTGGTTATTCACTGTGTACTATATGAGCGGGGCAATGTATAGTTATAGCTTGCTTTGTCACTTGATCAGAGAACGTTTTGCCATAAGCTGCATTGTGAACGAACAATGTCAGCACTGGTACTCTGTAATGAATAGTGCGGTACTTGTTCCGAGCTTGTTTTGTACTATGACTCATACTTGTACCCTGATAAGATTCTACGAAATGCAATGGTTAGCACAACAATTAGTTGAGATCATCTGTTGTGCAAGATCGATTTTGCTCCAAGTGATGGCCACAAGGACCATGACCGTTGAGCATGCCAACAAATACAAAGCTGCGAGGGCAATTGCATGTGCACCGCCCTCGATCCCAGCCAAACGAGGGAAAGGGAGACCTCGGAAGGAGGCTGCAAGTCAAGCGGGAACAGGTGATGAGAAGGTTGAGGGCGTGGAAGGTGGAAATTTGGCAGGAGGTTCTGCACCCGCACGTTTCACAAGAAAGCGGGGACGACCGTAGAACGAGCCTGTGCAAGAGGAGGAGGCTGCAACTCAAGGGGGGACAGGTGATGAGGAGGTTGGGGACGTGGAAGGTGGCAATTTGGCAGGAGGTCCTGCACCCGCACGTGTTAGAAGAAAAGCGGGGATGACCGCAGAAGGAGCCCGTGCAAGAGGAGGAGGAAGCAGCGCCAAAAGCTACCAGCAGCGATGAAAGTGGTGGGGGCCGAGATGAAAATGATGGCAGCAGCGACAAAAAAAAGTGATGGCAGTGGCGATGGTCATGACAGGAGTGGCGGCAGCAATGGGACTGATGGCAGTGGCAAGGAGGATGAAAGCGAAGGCGACGAGAAACATGGCAGTTCGTTGTCGGAGGAGGGCGACTCCGAATCAGAACCCCTGTCTAAACTGCACAAGACATCCCACTTACGAGAGAGAGAGAGAGAGAGAGAGAGAGAGAGAGAGAGAGAGAGAGAGAGAGAGAGAGAGAGAGAGAGAGAGAGAGAGAGAGAGAGAGAG